ACAAAGAAGACTACCAAGGATTCCAAATGTCATATGGATGATTATCCCAGAGCGAATAGTCATCCAGTATATGACTTACTACCAGGAGTCTGGGTTCATGCCACTATGTCACTCTACCCTTCTGTGGATTTTGAGCAAGTGCGCTGCGTCTGTTTGAACATCGGTTCAAGGGCTCAATTATGTTAGTGCTGCAGGTGCAGAAACATTTGACGATCTGTGTGATGTTGTTGAAACCCTTGGACATGTAGGGCAAGGTATGGGATGGGCGAAACAGCAGGAAAATAATCTATGTGCAAGCAAGTGGTACCTTAAAAGCGACTTTAAGGTGGGTGTGACCCTTGCTAGGCAGATCCCTCCACCTCTCTATGTCACTCGCCCCAGATCTTTGTCTTGTGCGTTCAATATGGCGTCTGCGATCACACTGGTTTTCTGCGTTAAAAAAACCCCTCTACCATCTGCTAGCAGTTTAATCAAAATATCATTAAATGGCATTATTTCTATTGTTTTATTTTGTTCTGTTGGGGCTATTTACCGCTAAATATTTGTCAGTTTCATGGTTCTACCGTCCGGCACTCAAAGGCTGATTAATAGAAAGGACTAACTCAATGAACGCACTAATCAGTCCATACGGAACATGTGATAACAAAATGTTAGGGCGTATTTCACTTGACTGTTGTAGAACTACTAGCAAATAAAACTCCTCAGCCAACCAGGAGCGGAACCCATTAACCAACAAATCAATCAGGAGGCGAAGTATGTCTGACTTGCGTTTAGTAGTGACATAAGGAAACGTGCGTTTGGGTTTAGTTCGCCATTTCATTGGCTCACTGACGACAGACCAAGCCCCTCAATCAATAGAAAAATAAGGTGAATCCAAGTCTGACAGTCGTGTGAAATCTTCTCTATCTTTTTGCTTAGTTCTCTATAAAGCAGCGCATCTTAATTATAACTTTTTTCAAACGTTTATTGCAGGTACACGTTTCCCAGAGTTCTACAGTAGCAGATCACTGCAGGTCATACGCTATAAGTGACCCGAAGGAGCCTTTGTTCCAGGCCACATGTGATCACGATCACAGTGATGTGTGTGAGTGCTGCGCTACATTGGCGTCAACTCTAAATGATATCAAGGAAGTTTTGGTTGCGCAAAGTCAAAACATGACATCCAACACAAAGGAAGAACTTGTTTTCCAAGTCAAGAATGGAAAGACCGCTATATTGGCATGGAAGTCTCAACTCCTCTGCTCCGTCAATCAGGATGGCACCAGAATACAGCTTTTGGAAGCGATTGACCAGTCGTCTGTTTTAATTGTTTAAGACTGGGCAATGAAATATCCTCCTCGGAAGTATAGAGAAAGTCAGACCGACTGGTTCAGTAAATGTGGAATCCCATGGCATTTGACAGTTGCCACAAGACGAGAGGCAGGGGAGTTGCAAATGCTAATGTTCGCACACATTTTCAAGTCCTGTAGTCAAGACAGCTGTGCAGTCCTTGCCATTATGGCTGATGTTATTTGGCAGCTCAAGATCGCCATGCCTGGGCTCAAGACCGTCTGTTATTGGCAGGATAATGCCGACTGCTACCACCAAGGAACCACTCTCATCTGTGCAGCAGCCCTAGGCCATGAAGAAGGTGTCAAGACCAAGCGTCTAGGTTTTTCTGATCCACAAGTGGGCAAGGCGGCATGTGATTGGAAGGCTGCGACTATAAAGTCACATATGAGGACTTATCTTAACGCTGGAAACGATATCGACACCTGAGCAGATGAGAGACGCGATACTCTCTTCTGGTGGAGTTCCTGGTGTTAATGTAGCATTGTGTGAAACTGTCCAAGTCCCGACGGTGCTATCTTCAAAGATAGAGGGCATTAGTCGGCTCAGTAATATCGAGTACAAGGAAGAAGGGCTACTAGTTTGGAGGGCGTATGGTATCGGCGATGGTAAACTCATTGCTACAGACAAATTGCATTGCCCATCCCCATCTGACCTATCAACCCTTACCCGAGTTACTCGCTCTTACTCAAGCGCATTTACATCTGTCAAGGAGAGGCACATAAAAGCATCAGTTTGAGATCCAGAGTGCATATCAAAGAGGAAGACAGTAACGCGGCGATCTTCAGCTGTCCTGAGGAGGGTTGTGTGAAAACATTTGAGAGATATTCATCAATGCAGCGGCATTTAGACTGTGGTAAACACCAACGTGCTCTTGAGCGATATACTCTACTGGATAGAGATGCTGTTGGATATGCTCAAATGCTTGAGGGGCAATGTGAAGCTGTTCCCGAGCTGGATGCAGTTGCAGAACTGCCATCTTCTCATGACATGCTACCAAAGGATTGGGCGCTGAAGTCAAATGCTTCCCATAGATGTAGTTTTATGTACAAGCAAGAGAACTACCTGACTGAGAAATTTTAACAGGGTGAGCGGTCAGGACAAAAAAGTGATCCGCTATCAGTTGCACACTCTATGATGTTTGTCGTGGACTCCCAAGGGAAGCGGATGTTCAGTAGTGAAGAGTTTTTGACTGCATCTCAGGTTGCTGGATTCTTCTCCAGACTTGCGGCAAAGAAGTCTCTGTTTAGCAATGATGATCTTGAAGAGGAGATTGAATGTGCCACCCAGGAGGCAACCATTGAAGAATTGACGAAGGATGTTTGTCGGGAATTTTTGCCAGGACACCCCATCATGTGGGATAAATATAATCTATGCGAAATGACCTCAGAAGAGAAATTCAACACGACCAAGTTATCGGTTGCAAAACTAAGAGACATTTGCGCAGGACTTGACATTGCTGTTGATATATCCATCAAACGTAAACAGCCCTATGCAGACAAAATTGAGGAGTACTGTCAAAAATGCCACTGTAAAGCGGATAAGTAAAGCCCAAAGTTAGCACAGGGCTGGGGTAGGGGGATAGGAAGAGGGTAATCATAGGGATAGGTTCTTCAGTATCACGACCCAAATACCACACCAAGCCCTAACCTAAACTACGTCAATCATGGGAACACTTTCATATAGACTTTCTTCTTAGAATCCATGTCACTATGATCCTGCAGGGGATTTATACAAGCTTGCGCTATGCAGGAAATTTGTTTTCTGGCTTGCACCCGCGCAAT